TCGATGAGAAATAGCACCAGCTGCATGTAGAGAGTAGCACGACTGGGTTGAGTTTATTAGTGCATACGTTGCCCTAACTCCAGCTGCAGCCTAAGGCTGCTGTTAGTTGCAAAGTCAGCATCAACTGAAGCTTTGCTGGCCTCCTCGATTACATCAACCTCAAACGTAAAGCAGCAGTGAATCTGATCTGGACTTTTCTAAGTGTGGATTTCAGTGCGATGAAGTTACATTGTTCTTGTCAGTGCTGTGGCAGAGACAAACTCAAGAGGCCTTTTTAAAAGCATGAGGATGTCTAGTGTGTTTTGGAATGTGAAAGTGACTGAAAAACTACAGCAGTAAACTGCAGATGCTCCCAGGGGTAGGAGTAATCATCATTAATTGAAGCTAGGAGTGCAAACTGGTTGGGATAGCTTTGGTTTGAACAACTTGTATCTTTTATGTTTGTTCAGTCCATTAGCTCTTTATCTCATTTATTAATTTAATCTCTTTTCCCCTCCCTTCCTTCCATTGCTCTTTTACTTGCAATTTAAGCTATCTTTTATTTCTTTGATGTTACATTTCTCCGTTTAACATGTTGCTCATTTTAATTTCCCTCTGCTTTATGATGCATATAAATACGCATGCAATTAATATATTTTACATGTAGTTATTACTTGTGTCTGCTACGTTCATTTCTACCCTGGTGCCTCACTCTAGAAACACTGATTCTCTGATGCCTTGTTTTATTCATTTTGCCAGTTTTTTCCGTGTCCTTACAAGAATGTTTCTCAGCTGAACTGAGCCAGATGAATGGGTGTTTGGGCAGAGCTGTTTTCCCAGGTCCATTCACAGAGCCTAAAGCTAGAAGAAAACATCAGATTGCCTAGTTTGACCTCTGCTGTATTACAGGCAGGCAGGTTTCTTACCCTTGTGTGGAGCCCTGAAGTTTACATGTGATTGAACTCAGGCTGTAACAGACGTTTGTTTTTCATTTGGCGGCACTGAAGAGCAAGCACTGCCTCGTTTGCTCCCTCGATATTTGTTCCACTGTTCAGCCACTCTTGCTCTTTTAAAATCTGCGTCTTCTGATCTGAATCTCTTTGGTCACTGCTTATAGCTATTTGTTCTTCTTAAGCATTTCTGCATGCTTTCATGTTTAGTAAGCCCTGCTGGTAGAGGACTCTGCCACTCCTGTTTGATAAATTAAACAATCTCTTAATGAATAGTCTGCTGCCTGCAAATGGTCTCTTGAGGCTTTTTTCCCCCTACTTTTTCTAATTTACTGAATTTGCCTTTATTTTTGAACAAATGTTTAAAAAAGTCTTTCTTCTAAGGATTTCTCTCCCAGTTGCAAAACTGGGAGAGAAATTAGCTCCTCTATTTAGTGTAAAATCTGCCTTTGTGTATCTAACCATGGCAAATGTTTTCTTTTAACTCTCCCTTCAAAATGAAATTTAGGTGAAAGATTCCAACAGGCGATCAGTGGCTTGAATTCTAAACCTAGTGTATTAATGTATGATTTGTATTCATGATAGGACAAATATGTCTTTTGATGTGCTTCTGTCATCACTTCTGACTACTTCAGTGTCATGATATTTGGCCTTTATTACTGTATATAGATTTTTTTTTGAGCGATTTTCAGATGAGTGACCTACTACTGTTAGCACAATTTAGTCCTGCAACTTTGCAGTAGAACCAACATATGTTATCTTGAATAAAGCCTGGATTTACTGTTGAGGACAGGACTGAAATTGTAAAGTATCTTGATGAATTGGTCTGAAAAAGTAGTCCATGCTACCAGAATAGTAAGCGTGAAAGGGCCTTTCTGTGTAAATATCAACAACGGCAGAAATAATGAGGTGCAGAATGACAGGATCTGTCGTAGTTCTTCAGAAGATTTGAAGATTTTAGCTGAATTAGATCAACTACCTCCAGATCCTTGCAAAATAAAAAAGTCCAGCCTAGAGTGCATCGCTGAGAAGCTTAGCATACAAGCTACTTGAAACGATACTTTCACTTAGCTGGGTGACAGTCCTGAGCACTCATCCCACTGTGGAGCAATTGAAGAAAGCTGGGGGAGAGCAGGAGGAATATACAGAGGGTTAAAAAAACTTGTGTGAAGTGGGTTTATATAGGAGAGAAGCCTTAGGGCAGACCAAATAAGAGCCTGTGAATATGGAAAGCAAAGTTTCAGAAAGGAAGAGTCTCCATGTCCACTGGCAATTCGATAAGTAGTGATGGATAATTGCAACAAGGGAGACGGAGGTTACATTTTAGGGAAAGGCACTGACAGTAACCATAGCTAAGTTCCAGAATAATTGTCTACTGGAGTTGTCAAGTCTCCACCTTCGGAGGCTTTTAAGAACAGGTTAGATAAAGATCTGTTAGGAGTGCTTTTGTTCAGCGATCCTGCCCTGGGGCAGGTCATGCACTACTTTACCTCCCACGGACCCCTTCAGCCCTGTTCCCTGTGATTCATCATCCTGCCGCAGGAGTCCAAGGGAGTGATGCCGCTCTCCTGTTTATTTTACTTCCCTAAGTTGATAGGAAAATTTTTCATTCCTTTCTTTTTTGCATAGGTGATCGGGGACTACTACGGAAAGCAGGGGCGTTTTGAAATTCGATCAAATGTGAAATATCCTTGGAATCACGGCAGGCTGCGACTAGATGAAAGCCGAGTTTCAGAGCATACAAACAATACACCGTGTAAATCATGTAAGTTTAGTGACTTAATGCTTCTGCCCAGGCCGTCAGAGAGAGGAATCTGTGTGGTGATGCAACATAATGGGCCATATTAAATTGCTTAGCACAGTTGTCCAACTGAGACATCATGACGACGTCTCTCTGCTGACTGTTTGGGAAGTTAAGGTCTGGCAGCCCTGGGTAGTATGTGGTCTGAATCACTTCCCTGAACTTAAAACATGACAGTAATGATGATGCACAGCCACAGGGCCCTGGAGGCTTTAGGACTTTCCAGGGGCTAAAGGTAAAATCTCTTTTAGCCAGAAAGAATGATATAACTGAAACCTCAAACAGAGTAATCATGTTGATAATTAGTAGCTGGGGAGACCAGTGCTGATGGAAGCAGTATTCTCCCAGTGCAGGATGATTTTCAATGCTATGAGAAGTCACTCATGAAAATAATGACTATGATAAATGAAGAGGAGGGAGCAGTTTAACTTCCTTAGTATTTCTCTGTTCCTTTCTACAAACCCAGGTGGGCATGGAAAAAAGAACAGGCTGCACACACATGTTCTTCAGCTGCCCTGCGCTTTGCAGAGTGACAAACCCTACTTGGGCTCCTCTGCAGCCACTGTGTCCCAGCGCTGCCTCTGTTGAGATCTGGAGCAAGGCAAAGCTCATATGGCTTTAACTTGAAACAGCACAGGTTCAGTAGAAAAAAAAACCAACATTAAGGAGCTGTTGGATAATCATACAGTCATGTTAATAAACCTGGGTGATAGAGGGTTATGATGCTAAACCAGGTGAAATTAGTTTGTTTCTGTTAGAATGACTTGGGGCATATTCAGTGCTGATTCTTATTATGTGCCACATAATCCCAGTCTGTGTTATAGAATCATAGAATCATAGAATGGTTAGGGTTGGAAGGGACGTTAAAGATCATCTAGTTTCAGCCCCCCTGCCATGGGCAGAGAAATCCTCCACTACACCAGGTTGCCCAAAGCCTCATCCAACCTGGCCTTGAACGCTTCCAGGGATGGGGCATCCACAACTTCTCTGGGCAACCTGTTCCAGTGCCTCACCACCCTCAATGTAAAAAATTTCTTCCTTATATCTAATCTAAATCTCCCCTCTTTTGGTTTAAATCCATTGCCCCTTGTCCAATCACTACATGCCCTTGTAAAAAGTCCCTCTCCAGCTTTCCTGTAGGCCCCCTTTAAGTACTGGAAGGCTGCTATGAGATCACTCTGGAGCCTTCTCTTCTCCAGGCTGAACAGCCCCAACTCTCTCAGCCTGTCTTCATAGCAGAGGTGCTCCAGCCCTCAAATCATCTTCGTGGCCCTTCTCCTGACCCGCTCCAGTAGCTCCATGTCCTTCTTATGTTGGGGACTCCAGAGCTGAATGATTCAGATTATGATTCAGACCAAGCTATCCAGACCAGTTTCTTAACAACATTCCTGTGTATCACATCTCTAGAATTGTGTCTTCGTCTGACACTGATCTTGGGGCTTGTTTAACTCCAAGTAAAGCAAGGACAGAAAATAAACATACAGACACTGGAGGTTCCCATGGAGTCCTGAACTCTGAAAAGCTTTAGTTATTATCTGATGTTGGTCACTTATTTCCTAGTTGTGTGTATTTTCCAATATGTGAATGCAAATAGTTCTCAATATGAACCCTGATTGTTTATTTTTCCCCTTTTCAAGCAGGTGGTCTAGGAGAATCAGCAGTTACAGGAATAGTTGTGGGTGCCTTGCTCGGAGCAGGATTGCTAATGGCTTTTTACTTTTTCAGGTTAGTCCAATTCACTGAAAGTTTTGTAAACTCTTTACTCGTCATCCAAGCCTCTGAGCTCCTGGCAGCACATCCTTGATGGGAGACAGAGAGTTGCCTAATAATCGGTGGTAACATTTCCACCAAAGACAGTGAACACACTTTGATTGTCCTTTTGTGTATAATACAAATCATTTTACTGACTCAGGGCCTCATCCTATAACCACCTGCATAGCTGAGTGATTTTACTTATGGAAGTAATTCCAGTGAGTTCCAGTCATTCACAGTTGCTCTAATAAAGTGGTCTGGCCTTGAAAGCCTTCTTTGTTTGGTACACCTCACCAGCACAATTGTGCAGACAGTGATCTTGCAAGAGATTTATATCACTTGCCTGATACCATTGCTTAGTTTTTGAGTTTTGAGTGGAATTGTACTGGAAGCTGGAAAGAGATTTCTGTTTTGGTATAAGAGCATTTGGGTTTCAAAGCTGTGCATTTAACTTAATAAGCTGAGGTCAGTGCAGGGTGATCAGTGTTTTATTCCTTTTTAAGTAAAATAATTCTAACACTGATGGTCAGCAAATCTAAAGTTTTAAGAGTTGATCTGACACTGACAGAATAAATTAGTTATACATGTTCAGCATCTTATGTATACTATAATTTATCATGTTATGGTATAGAAGAGAAAAGGCAGACAGGAGACTAGAATTAACCTCTGCATATAAGAATCAAATAATTTTATCCAATAAAATCTGTTTATAAAAAAATGTTAACAAAATGAAACTGCTTCAATTTACCACCACACTTCAGGGTTTCAAAAGATCCTAGAACTAACATTATTCATCAAGTACCTACAACTGAAATTCTGCAAAATAATGGTATCCTTGCATGTGTTTGGTGCTTATATAGTATGTTGTTTGCGTTTGAGACAACATAAGTCAGCTGAAACTGATTAAAGACTGTCTTTAAAAGAAAAAAAATAAAACAGAAACGAAATCTGTCTTTACGGTGTATGATGTCAGAGGTTCTTTAGATCTTTTAGACGTTCTCAGTCTGAGATGATAATTTTTAGGTGTGTTTTTTTAGCATTGCTGATATTGGGAGGGAATTGTTATGAGAGGACAAGAAAAGAGGCAAAAAACTTATCCTGAGCTGGTATAAAACTACACAAAGCGTCATTGTAGGAACAGAACTTAAACTTCTAGTCATCTAACACAAAGATTTGGATTGGAAATCCGTGTGAGCAGGGGCAAATGCCTGTAAAAGGACATGTACACACCTGAGCTCAACACTGTCTTTGTATTTATGGTCAGAGGGGAGAAATTAACGCTTTTTTGGGTGTGGTTCATGTCATCCTCATGTCAAAGCTAAACCAGGTCAGGAGAATGCCTCTTAAAAATGCCTGTTTCTCTCCATTGACTGAAGGAAGCCATGGGTACTCCGTCAGGTAGATCTGTATGTTGGAGGTTAGATCTAAAGACACGAGTGATGTTCACCCTTGAGATCTGATTGCACTCACTCAGAGCAGGAGTAGGGACAGCTCTCTAATTCCACCATTAGAATAAAGACATGAAACATAAGATATCGGGATGTATGAGTCAGATTTTCAGAAAATGCAGGTCTAGGAATTGTGTGCCTGAAAGTAATTTGTATCTGCAGCTTCTGTACCTTTCAAACTGTATGTGTACCTTTTGATTACATGTCATTTGGATCTGTAATTACCACAAACACAGTTTTCAGTGTGCATGCAAACCATTAAAAGATCTGGGTAAGCAGTTCTAGTATGTAGCTTTGAAAGGAGTTAAAGAGCTACATTTCTAAAACGTGGACCTGTTCTTGTGCATGAGCTACTACTGCACATGCTCTGACCTGTGGAAGGATCTGACTTGAAAATACATAAATCAAGTAAAAAACCTAGGTTTTTCAAGTTATTTTGGAATCTACTGATACACAAATGTGTAGGGAATTTTTTCAGGACTTGTAGGTTCCCACTTTATATTCAGCTATGTTACCCAAATTAAAACCTTGTTGTTTTGAAAATCATTCTTCCACTGCTACATGTCTAGCTCTGACTCCTGCTACATATGCAAATAGAGCAGAGCTTTCCTGGGCATATAAGCTTCTTGTCATGCGTCTGCACAGGCAGTACAGTATGCATATGGGGTTGGACTAATGCCCTTCTGAAAAATTGGTCCAGAAACTTAGTAGAAGCATAAATGCGTAAAATATAAATGTGAATCTTCTTACGATTTTCTGGGGAGATTTGGGTACTAAAGGGGAAACTGAAAGGCAGTCAGAAGGCTTGTTTGACGTATAAAGTAACATAACAGAATTCTTCAAAAGGCCCTAGAGGAAGACACACAGGAAAAAACGTGTCTGATGCATGAGCAATTGTATTTACTTCTTATCTATCCTCTACATCCCTCTTGTTAATTTGTCATACTGCCTCCTCTGACCTTACAAACAGTAGCTTTCTCAGAGGGAGATGGGAGGATTACTTAGTTAATCCATAGTTTCAGTGAGAAACTCAAGTGAATAAAGAGTCAGATCTGTTGTTTGAACTCTGCAGAAAGCACCCCCCCATATACTGGAAGGAAATTTGGCTTTGATCAATATAAAGCAGTGATGTGACACAGTTCACATGACACTTCACAAAAGCTTGCTAATCACTTAGATCAGAATTTTCAAAGAAGCAAAGGTCTGTGTCTTGGTGCTTTGAGACTGCTATGTAGAAATTAATAGGCATTCTTGAGCCTGGGTAAAATGTTTCGAGGCAAACTACTTTAATCTTTGACCAGGGTTTCACATTCTGCCACATTTCATTTTTCAACTGACATCCAGCTGTCCCCTACAGGCATTCTTTATAAGGCAAGTCCTGTTATCCTATAGCTAGAGAAGGATTTCTCACTCTGTTCCTCTCTTTTCATGCAGAAAGAAATACAGAATAACTATTGAGAGACGAACTCGACAGGAGGACTGCAACATGGGGAAACATCGGCAGTTACGTGAAGACTCCATTAGATCTCATTTTTCTGCTGCATAAAGAAGAAGAAAAGGAATCCCATTATTTCTGGGGAAAAAAAGCATTAGGGAAAAGGACACAACCAAAGACATCAGTGTAAAAAGAAGAGGCTCTTGAAGAACTCACTCTTTTAAGCAGTAATTTTGTCTTAATTTCTTTCAGAAGCTCAGGAATGATTTGCTAATTGCATTATGCCGCATGGCCTTTCATCTCATGAAAAAAGAAAATGATGCAGTTTGATGCTATAGGATGTACTTAATACGTAAAGACAGTATTTCTTAAGGCATATAGTAAGGGCAGCAGATCTGAGTTTAGTTGCCTCATTCTATTCCCTTTTTTTTGTTTTTTAAGCTCCTACCACCTCCTTCCTTAACTGCATCTCACCCATGGGTATCTAATATGGTTTCATAAGCACCGGTGCTAGTTTGCTGTCAAAAGGAAAAGGGTTCGTTTTGAGTATGATCCTGCATCACTAAATCATTGCCGTTGATTACAGGGGATACAAGATTGGCATATGGAGTTTAGTTCTGGGAGAGGAACTGGCACTTGGTTGTAATTAACTCTACTGGGTTGTAATTAACTCCATGAGAAAGTCAGGCAGGTGGAAACACATGCAAGCCATTCTTGATTGTAGTATCACCATCAAAAGCACTAATTCTCCCTCTCAGATGTTGGGAGTTAGGAAAAACTCCAGTGAAGGATGAGGAGTTTCGCTGGTTTGAAATAATGAGAGAGAAGACTATCTGGCCTCCAGAGAGGGCTGGCTAATTCCTCAGTCTTACATGTGTTTTATTGTGCTCTTTTCTCTCCACTGCCATGACTCTTCAGAGAGGCAAATATAGTCCATGTAGAGCCTACTCCTGTTCCCAGTGAAGTCAATGGTGAAATCCCATTAACTTCAGTGAGCACAGGACTGCATCCAAAATTGTAAATATGAAAGTGTTTGTATAGCTGACGCAATTCAAAAGGGGATCTTTTTTGTGTAAAAATGACATTCCATGCTACCATTTTATTTTTAGGATATTTTTTATCTTGTATTTTTCTATTAAAGTATCTATTTTTGCTTTGGTAGGATTAGAAATTAAGGGAGAGAATGTTTTGAAGACGTATTTTTTATGATAGGAGTAACATGCAGGGAAAGTCGGCAGCTGTAAGTACATTTTAGAACCTGTATTTAGGGGAGGAGAAGTGACTTTATGGATAGTAACAGACTTTTTGCCCCACTTTCTTCTCCAGGCATGCACAACATTCAGATAGTTATTTAAACAATATAAATGCAGTTATTGAATTCTCTGCGTGATGATGGCCCTGATCCTGAAAATAATGAGCTTTTCACATGTTAAATAGTCCTGCATGAGTCAGTGAGACAAACTATTCATGTGTGTACAACTAAACACGCAAGGATTTACCTTCAGGAATCAGGGCAGTAAAGCACTACTTAAGGGCTGATTTCAATCCTGCTGCCATCAGTATCCCTGGGGCTTTTGCCATTGACTTTACCAGGAGCAAAACTGAATCTGTGATGAATTAGCTACTGACAGGTTATTTTATACTAGACAAAGGAGAGCTCTGTGCTTTCTAGTCAACGAGTGGAAATGAACAGTATATATTGTAAATGTGAAGAAGACCCATAACAATATTGTCTGTGGGAAAACCCAGCTATGACTATGGTTCTAGTGGGTGAAATCTTTTGGTTTATCCTGTTATGATTTCATAAGAAGAACTTTCCAGTCTCAACAGTCATAGTCAGACTTGAAAGTTAGTCTCAAAACTGTCACTGAAGCCTGTGTTCTACAAAACTTCTAGACCCTGAGAAGCCAGAGTGCCCATTTAGAGAAAATGTTTTGGAGTAGCTGGAGAGCAAAAGCAGGCTCTGTCTTCTTTCTGCTGCCTTTTATTTGTTGATAGGGAAACACCCAGTGGATTATTTTCTTGGATTTTTTTTTTATGTTGCACTTTATGCAGGGGTTCATCACCTGTCCTTGTGAAATATCATCCAATGTCTCGGACAGCCAGAGGACAGGGCTTCTTGACTGTCAGGGCAGCACCAGTATAGATGGTGGATGTAGACCTGGTAGATTTGGTGTCTTTAGGTCTCACTGTAACAGCTGTTGTTGATGTGGTAGATTTCCACCATCGTGTTTTGCACTCTAGGCCTGTATGACTTCTGCAAAGGTGCCTTACCCAAAGTAACCATGGGCACCAGAGAAGAAAGTAGTCTAGAGCAGCATTCATATTCCTGTGGTGGTGGAGTTGGGAATAAAAAAAGGACTTCCTGATTAGTTTGGGGATTTTTTTTTCAAGCAGTGGAGTTTGTCTAGACCCTGGGCATGCTTAAGGTTTGGGTTTTTAAAAATAATTTCCAAAGGAGTTTTGATCTACTTCTTGTTTTGAAAATATGTGTTTCAGTATTTTTACTTTCTTTTATCCATTCAACTACTTTCCCATAGAAAAATGGGAGGAAAATTTTTGAATATGTGGAGAAAAAAGTGTATGATTTGAAGCATAAACTTTTTTCAAAATGATGTTTGTTATGACTTGCCTTGCAGTGTGAACTAGTATTCAAGCAGTCTCTAGTTAGGGAGCAAGACAGTAGTGTAGATCTGTGTTTTTCCTGTGCCATGCTCAGTCAGGTCATACCAGAAGATCTGAACCAGGAAGATCTATCTGGGACGAAAAATTGTTAAGACAGCATTTTTATTGCATCATCTTACTATAAGTAAACATTTTATAAGTGAAAGGTCACCTTTTAATTAAAAAAGTAATAATTCTGACCCCCAGTATAAACCTTATATAAGGTTTTTAGTCATGACGTCGGGAAGTGTTTTTATGAGATGTCTGTTTGTGGGATGCTGATGGAGTCCTAGCCACAACTTTACATCCCAGCACCTCGCAAGAAAGGTGAACCTTTCTTGCACACTAGAATATTTTTGATCAATGGTCTTTAATCTTTATAAATTGGTGCACACCTACCTGTGCATTTTTCCCATGTGAGTGTGGAGATCATTTCAGACATTTCACATAAGTAGATTCCTGCATAGCATAAATAAACTTGCTCTTCTTAGCTGCCTTTCACAGGCCTCTTGGTAATAGTTCCCAGGTCTTCTGTGGACCATAGATCAAAAACTGCATAGAGTTTAGATTATTCAGCAGAGAGATTCTTTACCAGCTAATGCACTTTTCCTTTCTGGTTCATCTGCATTAGCTCAATGCCACAATGTTTAGGCTTCAAACTCTGTAAGGGAATGTCTAATCAAAATAATAATAATTGATTCTCAAAAGGGTTTTCAAACCCTACATTTTTGGCTTCAACAAATTGCCCATATTACAAACATAACTCTGTATTTCAGAGCCTTGACACAAGGAAGGCCTTGACTCAGCTCAGCACTTCAGAACACACTTAAAATATGCTCAACTTCAGCTTCTAAGTGCTTTGCTCACTTAAGACCAAAGGGTATGATCATGGCCATGGCCAAACCAAAGGGAATCTTGCTGTGTGCTTGAATCAAACAAAGGCTGACCCCATAGGCTGTATGCTTATTGGTAAATCTTACAGTTGTGCCTGTTAAGTTGGAATTGAACCAGTGGCTTTATACCTTTTGTTTGTCAAAGTTTTTAAATTACCAAATATTGGTCAGCTTAATAGCTGATTCACCTCAAAATCCTCTTCCTGAGGGTTCTATGGACAAATTACCTGACTTCCACCCTCTTACCTTCAAAACGTAAACTCCCACTGCAAGTTGACAGAGATGAAGCAAAACTTTTGATAGTACCTGTAGTTAGTATGCTGAGACCTACAACTTTGGAGTCAGATGCCTAGATGCTTTTTTCTGGGCCTTTGGTAGTTCTGGAAGTTTTGTTTATGGACAGTTTGTGTGTCGTGAGTTGCCTGTGACTACCACCATCACCAGTTAATTACCAGTTTCTCCTGTGTTGTGCTTCACTGATGAAAAAAACGCAGCTAAGTTCCAAGAACAACTTTTCTGCAAAAACTTTGGATTGAGGGTACTGTGCACCTTGCAAGATTATGGTAAGAATTCAGTTTATTAGAGAGTTGTATTCATCCACTTCTGAAAATAAATTTTGTTGCTTTATTTCAAATTTGGTTTTGAGAAATGCGTTATTGCATTATTGAAAGTATTTTGCTGGTTTTTAATGGAGAATTATTAAGGTGTAGCTAATCCTTTGAAAACGTTTGTGCTGGACAAAATAAGCGTGTGCTCCCTGACAACATGTTTTACTGGGAGGCTGATCTCTGTGTAATTTTTTGGCGTGGAGATGCAATCACACTCTTATTGAGCTGACCAAAATATTTCTCATTGATTCAGTGGAAGTAAACTTAGGCCCTCAGTGAAGTGTCTTCAGGCTTGAAACTCAGCATCTTGAAGCAGTTCAGAGTGAATTTCTCAGCTTTGCAGTAGAACAGGCTGCATCAGCCTTAGCTGACCTTGGCTCCAGTGTGATTTTCACCTCATGAATGCCATAATGCTCCTGGAAAGCCAAGAATAGACATCAAAGACAGGAAGCTAATAGTCTTGGTCATAAATTTCTTTGGCAATTCAGTCCACCTTTTCCGGAGCTCAAGACAGTTCCACATCCTTCACTACCCTCCTCTGTGCTTCACAGTAGCCATGTAACTGTTCTGTTTCTTTAAATAAAGCAGCTGAGGTTGTTTTTCCTCATTTTCTCCCAGGATATAGTGAATACTCTTGAACTCCCGTTTTTTTTCATGTTCTTTTTTCTAGCTTCAGAAGTACTTTGAAAAGAGACAGCCATTTTCCGTCATTTAGTCAGAAATGCTCCCTCTTCACTGAGAGGTGGCTTTTAGTAATTTCAGCTGTTGCTTGTTGCCACCATGCTGCTCAGCTACTGGCACACCTCACATCGGTCCATGGCCACACTGGCTGTTATCAGAGACCTGGACCCAGAATTGTCTGGTGTTGCCTGTCTTTTTTAGCAAAGCATGGTTGAAAAATCAGATTGACCAAAAACCTTGTGATGCTGCTCCTTTCCTTTTAAAAACATCAAGGCTGGCACTGTAAATCGTGATTATAGAAGCAG